TTTTTGTGCGATGGTTGTCCACGCTGTCTTTTGTTTAGTTTCATTTATTTTACACCTTATTTTATTAACTAGGGTTTGGTTTACTCTTTCGTTCAGACCATTTGAGAATGGTGCATCGACTGCTGTAAATATTAGTCCTATTTTTTTTTCTTTTAGAAATGTTTTGAACTCTTTCGAATTAATCCCAGGGTATTGGTCTGTTAGTATTGTATCTATATTGTAGTCTTTTGTTACCATTCTTATGAGTTTTATGAAATCATTTGCGTTTTGGTTCTTAGATGTTAAGATATAAACGTACCTTGTGAAGTGATCTATTAATATATGCAAATATTTTTTTGATGATCGGCATCCACCAAATCCTCCAACTGTATCTATGGAAACAATTTCAAACGGTCGTTTCGCAGGTCCTAAGTGAGACATTACTCCGTATTTTAATTTCCTCCTTGATTTATTTTTCAAGCATATTTCACAAGTATCACATATTTTATTTATATTTTTTATTAGATTATTTGATGTATAAAAGGGTGATATTTTATTCAGCATTTGAGTCCTTCCTAGATGACAGTATTTGTCATGTACTTTTTTTATTAATTGTATGCTGAATTCCTCTGATAATATTATTTTTTCTTTCTTATTTTTTTTTTTTTGTAATAAATTTCATTTCTTAATGTTAGTTTATTTTTAGTTTCTGGTTTTAATTTTGTACTTTGGTCTTTTTTTATTTCATCAAGGTTTATTAAATCAATTGATTTTTCTTGCTTTCTCATTTGTAAATTATTATAAGAGTGGTTTATAAATGTAATAAAGTCATCTAAGTTTTCCGAAGGGTCTAACACTGGGTTTCTGCTCAAGCAGTCTGCCTCTTGGTTTGTTTTCCCTGGGTTGTACATAATTTTGAGGTCATATTGTGACAGATAATATGTCAAATCTCCTAATTCTTCGTCTGTTCTTGCTTTTAAATTCATATTTTCAAGTGGTTTATGATCGGAGTATACTATAAATTGTTTTCCCATTAGCCAGTGTTGCCAGTATTTCACTGCTTCTTTGATCGCTAGACATTCTAAGTATATCGGTTTTTTTTTCTTTTGCGCTTCTGTTAGTTTTTTTGAGTATTTTTCTAAATTGATTTCTCTTTTTTAGAGTACTTTTAATTCTAACAACTGCTTGAGTTTTGCCTAATTCCGTATGGAAACTTATTGGTTGTAAACTATCAGGTACAGCATATATGTTACCACGTGTTGTGCCAATTGAGGTTAGGCATAGTACTGATGACTTCCCATCTGCTGCTGCTCTCATGCGAAATTCAAAGGCTACCTGATCCATTCTATTTGTATTAGCAGAATTGTTGTTTTATAATAAAGTTTTATTTTTTCCTTTATAATTGTATAAATTTTCCCCTTTTTTTTTTATTGGTTATCGATAGTTTTATCCAAATAATAATAACAAAATTATGTTGCTCTGTAAAAACAAAGATTTTTATTCATTTTAATATAAAATAAAATAGTAAAACTAACAATAAACTATACCTGTAAAAACAAAGAAACAACAATTAAAGCTATTACTTTAGATCTTTCAGATTTCTAGTTTTAAGTTCTAAGTTTGCTCTTACGAGCCCTTATTGCAATTCTTCTCACACTATCTCTTTCACGTCTCTTCCTTTTCTCTCTCTCTCTCTCTTTTCAACTCTTCCCAGTGGGTAACGCCGCATTCCGTCGGTATCGCGGTAATATTCAAAATTCATAAAGACAATCTCAATCGTCATATTAGCGTATGTGATTTTCTTTACATGTATATAACGTTTTTTTGTCAAATGTCAATTTGTTCCAAAAACAAATAACTGTAAAATAGCGATTTTCTATAATACATTCAAATTTCTATGAAGCTTCATCCATGTGGTCATTTTTGTGATCATTGCATAAAACTTTAGAACATTGTTCACAGTACAGCTGAGTTCTTTTTTTACACGATGAAACCTCACAATGTAGGTACTTACCTATTTTTATTTTGTGTTCGTTCGATGAACTATCACTATGTATTTTTTGTCTGACAGGGCGGTCCCTTGAAAACTTATCGAGATAATATTGGCAAACTTTTTGCACAAGGTCTTTCGTTCCCTTTGGTAATTCTGGATGAAGCTTATTATAGATGACGGTAGAATTTGTCAATGCTGCCTGAATATGTCTCACAAAGAGACACCACATCCATTTCTTACTTTTAATTGTAGGCGTCAATGCATTGCAATGTTGATCATGCAGATCAACTCCACCCATGTATCGAGTATACATTGAAAACGCTTGAGGGAAGAGAATTGACTTCTTAGATGACTCGTGCCATCTCTGTACTTCAACTTTTGGCTCATCACCATATTTCGTTGAAAGAACTAATACAGGTTTTGAGTCCATAACAGTTATATAATTCAAATTTGAACTACTATCGTGCAAAGCCATAGTTGTACCCCTTTCTGCTTTTTTTGGCATCTCAACTTTTTCTTTGACTCGGTTTTGTCTAACAGTCCCAGTTGCTGATAATCCTAGTTTATCTAAATGAACCATCAGATCTGGACTTGTGAAAAAATTATTAAAATATATATGATATTTACGAAGATCACCTTTGTCAGTTACTTCTAATAGAGGTGAAAGTAACTTCATGACGACTCTAGATCCCAAACCGACGGCAACTAAAGGATTTCTTTCATCAATTCCAGCTTTTCCCGTATAAATATCAAGTTCATATATATATCCATCTGAGGAGCAAAGTGCCCACACCTTGAACCCGAATCGGATTGGTTTATTTCGTATACATTGTTTTATTCCGAATCTGCCATAATATTTGACCATTATCTCGTCTATTGATAGATTATAGTCAAAAAAGCCAAATTGCATACAATTTTGACGAATATAATCATACAGTGTTCTTACTTTCCAAACTTTGTCGTTTTTATTCTCATCCTTCTTTTTATAAAATTTAATATTTCTCTTGATTTCAACAAATCTATTCCTTGTCATGAGATTAGATATGACTGGACACTGTAAAATTAATTTACTTGACCAATAGTCACGAAGATTCTTCCTAGAATTTATTATAGTAATCATTAAGATTACCATAAATTTTTCTAGGTCGATCATACTAAGTTCAAAATTATTTTCCGCTGTAGCTTCAATTATATACTTTTTCATTGAATCTGAAAAATATATTTTAAATAACTCTACAGAGTTCTTAGAAAATAAAGACGCAATCGATTGAATACTGAAGTTATCATCAGTATCCATAATTGTAGAGTGGCTTGGAGCCTCTTCTTGCCATTTATAGATATGATTATGTTCTAATAATTTTTGCGTACTAGTGTAAGTATTTTTGACATGTTCATAAGAGCCGGTGGGAATTATTTGAGATGAAATATCTTCATCAAGATTGCAATCAGAATCTCCATCTGAGCTCTCATGATCTTCCGGTATAAAAGTTATATCTACATGTTGACAATCATCGATATCATCCTCCTCAACTAATTCTGCTAAATCTTTTACTCTACGCCTTGGCATCTTCACTTATCAATTATAAACAAAAAATTATATTGGAGCTACAAAAATCAGATCACTACCCAACACGACAACTTATACTAGAAATATTTGTAATGAAAACTGAATCTGTAAGATTACATGAAACCGTTAGTCCGCCACTCAAACGTGATCTCTAACACGGTTTCAATAGAAAAACATTTTGCAAACTCAGTAACCCAAAAATTAGCCTATGTTAGTCAAATTTATAAATGTACTAGAAATGTCCAAATATACTAAAAACTTTTGTAATGAAAACTGAATCCATAATATTACATAAAACCGTTAGCCCGCCACTCAAACGTGATCTCTAACACGGTTTCAATAGAAAAAAAATTTTGCAAACTCTTTGCAACTTCGTAACCCAACAATTACTATGTTAGTCAAATTTCCAAATGTACAATTTGTGAAAATTCAAAGCTTTCTGTCCTATTTTCTTAAACAAATTGACGTCTGACGATAAAAACGTTATATACATTTCTTTCATGTTTTTTCCAGTAGAATCGATTGCCGCTATCAGTTTTTTGAAAATAATAACTTTTTGATAATTTGTTTAAATAATTTTTTATAAACAATTGAAAATGGCAAAAGAAAAAACACGGGTATTTTTTTTTTACGATTTAGCTACGATTGGCATAGTTAGTTTGGCGCTATCTTTCCCAGGTTTGGCCTGGGCCTTAATGGGTTAATATAAAAATTGTAGCATTTGACACACAAAATATTTATTACTTGACTTCTCACTACTTAAATTACTTCTAAAAACTGTAGATCGCGCCTGATTTGAGAGTACTGAATTTAAAACGTATAAAGGTTAGCTCACTAAGTAGAGTGTGCTGGTATTATAACGGATGAGATTCAGCTCATTGAGCTGATGCTATGAATAAATAGTTAAATTCTTTAACAAATGAATAATTCAAAAAGCATGCTCAAAATAAGGAGTATGGATGAATGATCATTTGCAATTAAGAAAACAAGCTGATTCTTTTGATACACTAGCGTATATGGCGAGATGGACTAAATTTTTATCACGTGATAATTGTTGAATATTGTTTTTTCTTTTCATTTATTTTTTTTACCTGTGTATGTAATGATGAACTACATTTCTTATTATGTAGCAGACAAATAGTATAATAGTCATGTCAGATTATCATTACCGACCGGTCTTATTGTGAAGGAATGAAGCGCAAATACCACGAACACATTATTACTCGATTTATTTATACCGTTACTTTTCTAAAATTATAATTTTGAACAAATTTAAAGGCTTTTATTTAGTTATTTACACTACGTATTAAATAAAAATACACTTGATCAATACGTAAACATTGGAAAAGTAAAAAAATGTAATCTTATTACTAATATTAGACCAATAACCAAATAACATTTAAGACTTTCTTTTGCCAATTTCGTTTTAAAATGTTCATTCCAATTTATTTCTCATTACAGGGTTTAATTTTCGTTGTTGACAGTAATGATAGAGAACGTATAGGTGAAGCTAGAGAAGAATTGATGAGAATGCTTGCAGAAGACGAATTGAGGGATGCCGTCTTGCTTATTTTCGCTAATAAACAGGTATATTGTATATATATATATGTGTGTATAATCGTAAGAACATAGGTGAGTTATCGATGATTTTGCCTACTTCCCCATATTTATAGTTATTTTTACGATATTTATAGAATCTTCCTGATTCATCTCAGCTCTTCAATGGTACTCTTCTTTTTTAAAAAATTCTATTTCTCCAGAAACGATTATTTCAACGACATCCTGCATCATGTATATTAACACACATACACACAGACACACACGCGCGCACGCACACTACGCGCAAATACGTTATAAATTATATGAAATATGAAGTTCAAAAGAGAAAATGTCAGACAGTAGTATTAAATTCATTCACTGAACTTCAAAAGACATGCTGTAAGCAGTGACTGTCGGTTAGCAAAAAAAATATAGGTAGTTCCACACTTCTCTGCATTCGTTTGCTCTTAATTTTTTTTATTTCTTCGTTGCTCGCTTTTTCATTTCGCACATTTCGAAATCTCATTTCGATTTATATCTAAGTTGACACTCGTAACAGCGTACAACGTGTAAGAAGTTTAGCTCCAAAAGATATTTTTTTTTTAATATTTCTTTCAAAATAAAGTTAGTATAATGGGATATAATAATACAGGCTAACAAAAGTTCAGGTAGGTTTTTCAAGCGCTGAATCCGAATCTAGCTTCAGTGTTGATTCATCACTTGAGGTTTTCGAGATATCTTAAGCAATTAGAGTAAAAATTATAATATTTTGCAATATTCGAAGTAATATTACACCGTGGATATTTTTTTTCCGATAACTAGTACGAGTCATAATATTTCTGCACTCTTGCTCATTAAAATTTATTTTTCGGATTAGAGTTATCTTTTTTTCATCGAGATATCATTGATTGATGATAAGTACTTTAACAGTTTCGCAATAACCTTAAAGCAGCCCAATCGCTGAATACGTGTGTCTAGCATACTCTAAACCCTTAAATCCTGAATTCCTTAATCCCGACCCCAGCAACCTGTAAATTTAATGTTTTTGCGAAACTGCTAAAATTCTTAACATTAATAAATGATGTCTCGATGGAAGAAAACGATACTTTTAATCCAAATAATAGGATTTGAAGCATAAACATGCTGTCTTATAACGCTTTTAATGGTTTTTGAAAAAAAAGTGTTCACAGTGTTAAAAAAACCTTGACAATAGCAAATAATCGTGATTTTTGCACTATTGGATTAGGATAGATTGATTGGATTAGATTCAGATTCAGCTTTCGGAAATGTACTATCGCTTTCATGATTTTTTTGGATGTCGACCTGTATAATTACGAGGGTCGTTTGAAAAGTCCGTGCAAAAATAAAAACTGTTTGATACACGATCTCGTTTTTGATCAATCGTGAGCAATCGTGGCATCCATCTAGCGGATAGCTTTTTCATGTCCAAATGTTGGTGCAAAATATTATGTACCCGTTGGCTCGAGATGCCTACAGTACTAGCAATCTAACGCATCTTCACTCTTCTGTCAGCCATCACCATATCATGGATTTTATCAATGATTTCTGAAGTGGTAACCTCAACAGGGCGTCCAGAATGTTCAGCGTCTTTTGTGCTCATATGGCCACTCCGAAAATTTTGAAACCACTTATAAACCATTCTAATCGAAGGTGCACAATCGCCATAATGTTTATCAAGCTTCTGTTTAATCTTCTGAGGCGTTTTGCCTTTGAAAAAGTAATGTTTAATCAATACACGAAATTCTTTTTCGTCCATTTTTTTACAACCACTCGATTTTTTTGATTGAAACGGATGTGAAACGCAAAGTAATTGGCCGATCTGGCTGAAACTTGGTGTGTGCTCTTCCAAAATATGCCACTAACTAAAAATAACCTTGATATGCACTAGTAGCGCCATCTCTCTGACTTTGCACGGACTTTTCAAACAACTCTCGTATAAGAGAGTTCCGCGTAGTTTTCGATCCCGATCAGGATGAATTGTGGCTTAAGGACGCCCAGGTAAGAGTACCAATAGAAGTGGCTGGAATTGATGGTGCGGCATTTCTCGTACCGGTAGCACTGTGGGAGACCTTGGAGACACAGCTGGAGGAAATAGAAGACCTCGTTAAAAGATTGATTCCTGACGGAGGTCAGGCTTTAGGCTGTACCGTGGCGGTTGAGCACGAAATAGATGTTGGAGGCACTCGACCCGTTACACAGAAGTACTACTCAGTTTCTGATAGAGTGGGAGAGGAAATGCACGCGCTGGTCAAAGATATGCTCGAAAAAAAAAATAAAAAAAAAAACCATCGACCAGCGGATGGTCAAGTCCAGTAGTAATGGTAAAGAAGGCTGATGGAAAATATAGGTTTTGCGCGAATTATCAAAAGGTAAATGCAATTACCAAACCTGATGCCTATCCTTTACCATATATGAACGACATCCTAAGACGGGTAAGGGCTGCAAAGTTCATATCCACGCTGGACTTGAGCAGTGCATACCATCAGATTCCCCTAAAGGAAGAATCGCGTCCGATATCAGCGTATACAGTACCTGGATTAGGGCACTTTCAATTCAAGGGAATGCCCTTCGGACTGTCATACGCAGGAGCGACCTTCTAGAGGTTGATGGACAAAGTGATAGGCCCAGATATGAATCCATTCGCTTTTGCTTACCTCAACGACGTAATTGTGGTTTCGTCGTCCTTTGAAGAGCATAAGCGGTACCTAGAAATGGTATTAAAGAGAATTCTAGGTGCGGGCCTAACCATCAATAAAGCCAAAAGCCACTTCTGCAAGACGGAAGTCAGGTACTTGGGAGTTCTTGTGAATCAAGACGGAGTAAGACCAGATCCCGAGATGATACGACCGAAATTAGAATATCCAACACCCCGGACTGTCAAACAAGTGAAGCGATTCATGGGAATGACCTCGTAGTATAGACGTTTTATACCCGACTTTGCCATAATCGCTGAACCTATAAACCGCCTGACAAAGAAGAATATACGTTTCTCTTGGGAGGAGGAGCAAGAGCGAGCTTTCACGAGGTTGCAGGAGGCAATGGCTTCCGCCCCAATACTGCAATCGCCCGATCCTAGCGGTCAGTTTGTACTACAAACTGATGCCAGTGACAGTGGGATCGGGGCAGTCCTCACACAGGATGTCGATGGAGAGGAGCATGTGATAGAATATGTCGGCCGATCGCTCAACAGCGCTGAGAGGAATTATACGGTCTCCGAGAAAGAGTGTTTGGCAGTGGTATGGGCTATTGGAAAGTTCCGGCTGTACATTGAAGTGCATCACTTCAGGGTCATCACTGATCATAGTTGCCTGAAATGGCTCCATAATATGAGAAATCCCACGGGAAGACTAGCGCGATGGACACTAGCATTGCAAGGCAATGTCTTCGATATTGAATATCGAAAGGGGGATCTCAATGTGGTGCCAGACGCATTGTCTAGCGCCTATAAGGAGGAGGGAATTGAAGTGAGTGCCATAAATAGTCGGCCGGAAATCACTGACGCCTGGTATTTGCAACTCACACCCCACTTGGAAGGTAGTAGTGGGCGGGGTGGGGGGCTGTATCACTATCAGCCTGACGAGGACAGTGAATGGTCCATCGACAACGATGAAGCGTGGAAGCTTGCGGTGCTTAGGGAGAAAAGGTACTAGGTGCTCCGCGAGGTCCATGATGCTCCTACGGCAGGACATCAAGGACGAGAGCGTACATTCTCTAGGGTTAGGCGCTTGTACCACTGGCCTAAGATGTACGATCAGGTCAGGCAGTACGTAAAGAGTTGCCCGGTACGTTAGCAGTGCAAGTTGGAACAAAGGGCACCTTGCGGGCTGACAAGTGTCACGACCCTGGCAGGTGGTAGCCGGTGATATCACTGGTCCATTTCCCAAAAGCTCTCGATGTTTTGAGTACATCTTAGTCTTTGTAGACTTATTTACTCGCTGGGTAGAGTGCGTTGCGATACGCAAAGCCAATGGGAGGACAATCGCAAGGGAATTACACGAGAGGATTGGCGCGCCAGAGGTATTCTTGTCGGATAATGGAACCGAATTCAAGAATCAGGAAGTCGTTTCATACCTTCAGATGAACGGCATACAGCGCGTCTTGACTCCCGTGTATCATCCCCAAGCGAATACCACAGAGCGAGTAAACAGGACGCGAGTAAACCATGATCACGTCTTACGTGAGCCATGATCATAAGAGCTGGGACGAACATCTGTCAGAGCTCAACTTCACTTTAAGCTCGGTAACTCATAGCGCCCCTAGATATAGTCCTGCGATACGCACGTTTGGGCGTCAGCTGGTACCTCCTTTGACGTTCAGAAGTACCTAAGATCAGCAGGCCCTTCAGTGTTCGGAGGGTCAAGCTGTGGTAGGTTGGGCTGAACATATGGAGAAGTTCCCTAATTTATGGGAGAGGGCCAACTCCAAGTCAAAGGAGGAAGGCTGCGCGTCAGGCGGCTTATTATGATCTGAAGAGACGGCAACCCGAGTTTAAGGTCGGAGATTGGGTTTGGAAGAGGAACTGGATTCTCTCTTCGGCTGCCCAAGGCATTTCAGCCAAATTAGCGCCGAAATACGCCGCTCCGTATGTGATTGAAGAGGTTTGCGGTTCCAACACGTACAGACTAGGCAATCAGCTGGAGATCCTGCCGGAGCTCTTCCATGCCAAAGACCTTAAGCCGAACTACGGTCTGGGTGATGAAGAAACAAATCCGCGAACGCGTGCGACGATTCAAGGATGGATTTATGGAGTGAACGGATCGAACTAGCAGCCCCCATGGCCATAGGTAATGATCCCACCGCGACATCGGATTTGCCGGTATCTGCCCCAACCAAGAGAGGTTGAGGTCAACTTCGAAAAGTTCCAGCGACGGTCACCAGTCAAGCAAGAGGCAACAACTGTTCCTTAAAGAAATCGAGAGGGAGAGGTAGGCCTCGAGGGACCGTGCCCGTCGTGCAAAGGGCGGTTGCGCCGATAAACCCGAACGGTAACCGACGAGGGCCAGGACGTTCCCGCAAGGAATTGCTAG